CTGTGCTAATCTTCCCTCTATTTTGTATGTGGGACACTGCCACAGCATGGTTTGATGAGTGGTGTGTAGGTCTGTGCCCAGGATCCAAACCCACAAACCCTGGGTCACCAAAGTGGAGTTTGTGAACCTAACTACTACACCACTGGGCTGGCCTGAGAAATTGATGATCTTTTAAATGAGAGAAGATGGGGAGACAAATGATAACTTCAACTTTTCATCAATTTTCTGTATTGGTTCAAATACTTTATATCTTGTGCATAACTTCTTTTATAGTATAATTACTTTTAATTATAGTATAATTACTTCTTTTATGGTATAGTATAATTATATCAATTAATATTTCATTAATAAAATTAATAAAGTCGACAATTAATACTTAAAAAAACAAGTAGCAGGCTGAAAGGATCTATCAAGAAATTGATATTTTTTGAGAATTTATCAGTGTTGTGTCTAGAAAATAAAACTTCAGTTATGCTTTATGTTTTATAATACTTAAATATGTCAGTACTCAGGATCTATAACATTGCAATTTATACTTCCACTCTTCCCTGAAATACAAATCTTCAGAGAGAAAATCCATCAGAGAACAGGTGGTACACCTTTCCCATTGCCTCTCTTCCTTACTAAACTCCTCAAGTGTCTCATACTGCTTTGCTGATTGCTTTATGAATAAGGCTCAGATTGTACCGGCAGTTTTGCTGCTGCTCTGTGCTGGCTTAGGACTAAGTCAACTTAGCTAGGCTGAAACTATGTTTCCTGGAGTTCTCTTTCCTGTATGGTTCTGTACGGTCATGAGAAGCATTCTGTGTGAAGTCCAGAGGTAGAAGTGAATAAGTCATACGTTTCATGCTCTGGAAGTTGTTGCTAATCTGCTGTTTACCTACTTGGTGTATCAGGCTTGTAGCAACTCCAACTCCTACCAGGTCTTCTCCTTCAGCTTCTGAGTCCTGGGCCAGGTGTGTGTATGGCTTCATGATAACAGGTGCCAGCTTCTCCTGCAGGTCACCCACAACATTGAGGTTGGACACGGTAAGAGACAGAAGTGGGTGTGTTTGTCCTCATGGGTCCCGATTTCTCCTCACGCACTCCAGCTTGTTCTTGCTCTCCTCTACTTCCAGCTTTCCTTATCTGCTGATCTGACAGACCTAGAGTGAGTTCAGGCTCAACACCAGATGCAGAGTCAACAGCCTGCAGAGATTGTTCCACCAGTCGCCACATTTGTGCAAGGTCTACCCCTTATAATAAATCCCTTATGCTGTATCATATGTAGCCATTCTGCTTCTGAGATAAAACTAACTGCTACAAGTTTCTATGTACAATATCATCTTGCTCCCTTTGCATTTCAAACAGTGAGTTAAGCCTCCTTAAAGTCATCATATCCACTGTCTTCGTTAGAAGGAGAAAAAAGGATGGTAGGAGAAAAGGAAGGGATGCTTAGAAAGGTAAAAGCTTGTGTAGGAAGCTCCCAGAAGCTTCTCGATGCTAAACATGCCTGTGCCAGTTATCAATTTACTGCCTCTCATCTCCAGATCCACCTTTCCTTGCTCTGCTTTTAAAATCTTGAAGCTGGACCCTGTAAACATTTCTCCTTTGTCAATAGGGGGCCCTGGAGAGACACTGGAGGAAGAAGGGAATTCTCATCCTGGTTCTGTTGTGCTGCTTGCTCTCGTGGTGGGTGGAGGGCAGGAGCACAGGACACCCAGTGGCGCTCACCCCTAGTAAGTGTCAGTGGCACCATGTGGGGGACTTCTCAGTGGGTTTTGCCACTTTCCAGCGGGCAGCTTCCCAGTGGATTCCTCTGGTACCTCTGTGGGCATCCCAACAAGTAGGGCCGACACTCCGGAGGGCTGTTTTCCTGCTGCCAGCCCTGGCTTGCCGCATCTCAGGGAACTTCTCTGCTATCGAGTGGGCCACAGCCACTCCTTTTCGATGGGGTCTGAATCTCAGCCCTGGGTGAAGGGAGAGCCCTCTTCCAAATTTGTTCCTTCCTTGGTTCTCTGCCTTAGCTTTAGAGGGAGTAGCTGCTCTGTACATGTGCTATTTCTGTGTTCATTAGAGTTTTCTTTACTCCTTAGGAGGAATGTCCCCTGCTACTAGTTAGTAATTTTTTATGTTAAACTTTCCCTGTGTGAATTACCGTGTGCTTTCTATTTCCTAAGTGGACACTGATAAAATGACTTTTGCTCTTGGTAGCTGTTAAAAGAAAAAGAAGCAGAACTTAATTTTATTAGTTCAGGATTTGTTTTAGAAGAAATATAAATTATTTCTAATGTGAGTATATAAGTGAAGGGTTGCCCAAGTGTGCAGTTAGAGAGGCAATTTGCTTTCTTTGGCCACCGAGAAGGAGTGCTTCTCAAACTAGGCCCCACGGACCCACGTGAGCAGACCCTGAGTCAACTACTGCTATGAAACAAACCACCCTAAATGCAGTGGGTAAAACAACAGTTTACTATTTCTCACGTTTGACAGGAGACTCCAAAGTCACATGACAAATGGTCAAGCTACGGGAAAGAATGAAGAATTGGGGCTAAAAATGCACTCTACCACAGGGTCCAAGGACATCATCACAGGTCTATGAGTTTAAATGATAAATGGTAAAATTCAGTTTTTTCAATCCAATGAGAAATGTATAATGTAATCACTGTCATAGACTTTAGTGCTTGCATTTGCATTTACAGTCTGGTTCTCACCATGGGCTCACCTTCAGTGAGTGTGTACAACTTTCTCTATTTGTTCATTTGTGGAGTTACAGCTTTTTTTCTTTCACTTATTCAATGTATTCCAATGAACAATCACCACTATTGATTATGTGTTTATCATACGTTTTTAAAGACATATACATATAGAAAAGGTGCAAACTATAGTTCATGAATTTTACTAAAGTGAACACTCCCATATGAGCTGGGTGCTCAACATTTAAGGGAATGTTTCTCAAACTGGCCTCTGCAGAGGCCATCTCAGGCAGAGTTCCAGTAGTTGTAAAGCTTTCCCAATAATACATAAAGAATCTGGCTATGGGAAGCCCAGGGGCTGAGCTGCCTCTGATCAGGAGAGATGGGAGAACAGAATAAAATCCAAGAGGTTGCTGGAGAGGCAAAGAACCAAGGAATCACACAGAGGCTGGAACCCGTAGGTTTACTGCAGAAAACTGGTGGGCCATGAACCCTGAACCCCTCAGAGCAGATGCTGCTAAATTTCAATCAACATGTAACAGTGATTTTTGCTATAACCCATTTGCTATGGCATGTCTTGAAAAAGGCTGAGCTAATATAGTACAGCGGAAAGTCCAACTTGCTGCAAATTACTTGGAACAGCATAGCCTGTGTCCATGCCAGAGAAAGATGACATATATTACTGATACTTGCCCAGTCTCCTGAGCATGCAGGAAGGCAAGATCAGGAGAGTTCACAGTTCTACTCAAACTGAGCAAGAATGTCCTTGAAGGGTGACCAAGTGACAAACAGTGCAATAACTATGGGTGTTTTTACAGATTATGTGAGACACGATGATACCCTAGTAGTGATTGTGTGTATATGTGTGTTTTAAATAAATTTTTAATTTTATAATAATTCTAAATTTACAGAAAAGTTGAAAAGATAGTTCTCATATACCTTACACCCAGTTTCCCCTTTTATCTTTATTTTTATTATTTTTTTGCTGAGGAAGATTACCCTAAGCTAACATCTGTTGCCAGTCCTCCTCTATTTTGTATATGGGTCGCCGCCACAGCATATCTTGATGAGCGGTGTGTAGGTCTGTGCCCGGGATCTGAACCTGGGCTGCCCAAGTGCAGCACACAGAACTTAACCACTAGGCCTTGGGGTTAGCCCCCAGTTTCCCCTATTATTAACATCTTACATCATTATGGTACAGTTGTCATAATTAATGAACCAACATTGATACATTATTATTAACTAAAGTCCATAATTTATTCAAATTTTCTTAGTTTTTACCTAATGTCCCATCCAGGGTACCACGTTACATTGAGTTGTCCTATCGTCTTAGGCTCATCTTTGCTGTGACAGTTTCTCTTTCTCAGACCTTCCTTGCTTTTGATATCCTTGACAGTTTTGAGGAGTACTCGTCAGGACATTGTAGAATGTCCTTTAATTGGGATTTGTCTGATGATTGTATTTTAATCATTGCTGGCATATTTAGAATTGTTGGTTCCTTCAAACACGTCACCAAAAATGTCAGAATTGGAAAAGGTACTTTAAACATAAAAAGTCTGAAAACCACTGGTACATCAAAGCAGACTGTAAATATACATAAGAGAAGTTGTTGAGATGCTTATTCCACTATTCAAACTTCAGTTTCAAACAGCAAGGTAGGCTTACGGACCTTTCCCACAGAGGATGGATAGCAATCTCAACTTATAAACTGTCTGCCTGTTACCCAAAATGGCCCAGCCCCTCAGCCGCCCACCCTCATTCCCCAGCTCCAAGTTAAAAGTGAAGACAACCGCTTTTCACCCAAAGGTTACCAAAGGTAATGATTCATCCCACGGTAAAAGGGAAGGTTAAATCAAGCATGATGAAATTCTAAGTTGTTCCACAGTTTTCAACAGAAAATATTTTAAAAGTACAAACAGAAACAATAATCAAACTTTCAAGGAAATGTGGTCCTCTTTGTTTTTCAAGTGAATAAAGTCCAAATTAGGGAACAGAAAGGATTGCCTCTTACTAATTTGTAATGTCTGGTACCACAGAAGTGCTCTACCTGTGGAACAGCTGTTGTAGATGTTCTAGTAATTAAATCCATACAAGATACAGACTTAAAACACCTTTTAGGAGTCCACTCTGCTCTCAATGATGGGAGTGAAGTCACTACTCTTAAGTGTTTGGACCCGTTAACATTATTGGCAATGCTGGAAAGGGTACCATGTTTAGCTCAATAAAAAAGACAATATTCGATATGTCCCCTGGAGCTCAAAATTAAAATATTTTTATTGGAATTCACACAAGCCTAAAGATGTGTTCTCTGAACCAGAAAGTACTCACCGTGTTGGCCAGCTCTAGATAGTTTCCTCCTACCGAGTTGCCAAAATGCGGCGACTGTGTGAGCAGCTTGTGGAGAGCAGCAGCCTGCTGATGCAAAGAGCTTCCGCCGTACCCGAGAAGCTTCTGTAGGGCCGACTGACTCTGCAAGTCCGGGCTCTGGAGATCCCTGGCACCCGAGTCGTATTCCCAGCTCTCCTTGGCTGCTGATAAGGCACCTAGGTCCAGGAGAGGCAGGGAAAATAGAAAGAGGTTTCCTTCATTAGTCTGTGGGTGGCCAGGAGGAAAAGATTTGGAACCTCCTAACTCTTCCATGAGCCAGCATGTGAGAACACATGTGGCGCCCAGGCTGCATGCTAAGCACTTTCCTTTTCACATGACACATGGGGAGCCTGGAGATAAAAGCAGTTTTAGGCAAAGCATTCAGAAATAACTACCCAGTGTGTATGTGTCCCCCAAACAGAATGCTTAGCAAAAAATCAGGGAAGAGCCAAGAAAAGGGAATGCAGATCAGAGCCACATCTATCTGATTCACACAGGCTTACTGTATGATTCGCTTACTTACTGCAATCCTTTTTCCCAGTTGAGGAAGAAGGAAGCAAGTGAGAAGATAGAAAGTTAAGATACGGCACTTTTGTGATAATTTTCTACTGTCAGTGTACTCTTACCTGGAAGAAGCTACAGGAAGCTGGACCACATTTGCCAGTTGGGTGTAGCCATGCGGCTAAGTTCTGAGCAACAGAATTTGAACAGAAGCGATAAGCATCACTTCAGCGCCTGGCTCATAAAACCCCCAGTGTGTGATTCTCCACGCCCTTTGCCTTCCGGCCCGGTTCAAAGGGGCAGGGCACCCCTGGAAGCCATGTGATACAGATGGTGAAGCCGCAGACGGAAGATGTCTGGATCCCTGAATTATCTCCTGCAGCAAGGCTGTCTGCTGATCCCAGGTACCCTGTTTTGACTTTATGGGATTAGAAAAGAGCAACTTCTTTCATGTTTGATTCACTGTCTACTTTTGGTTTGTTTGTGAGAGCAGGTAGTGTTATCTTAACTATTACAGCAGATTAAAACCTAATAAAAGATGCTAATGATTATAATATAATGGTAAAGTACAATAAAAAAGCAGATCTAGAGGAGAAGTATCTAACCCAGTCCCCCTGGAGAGGGGTGGGGAATGTTCAGGAAAAGCTTACTAGAGGAGAAAGTCAGATGCTTCCGTTGTCACCTTTGCTAGAAAAATTGGATTTTGAGTAAAGCCAGCTTCCTTGTGTTGCTTGCTTCTGAATAGAAGCCCCTGGTGGTGCAGCTGGTTGGTGGAGCCCGGGCCACATGCCTCTGTCTTAGCTGCAAGGGAGGCTGGGAAGTTTGTTTTCTGGCTTCTACTCTGGGAGGTGGGATTTATGAGGTGAGACTTTTCCCAAACCTGGGAAGAGAATTCAAAAGTCCTGGGCAGCAGAAAACATGGCAAAGGTCTACACACAGTCACTGTGCTAGTACTGGGGAGATAGCCATGAGCGCAATAAATAGTAGTCCCTGCCCATGGAGGTTCATTTTAGTGGGTTTTTAATACACGACTTTTAATGGCAAAAAAAGGGGACTCATTAAAATGATTTAATTTATAGTATGAAATGAGACCATATACAGATTACTCTATAATTTACTTGAATATAATTACATATAGCAAACATTACGTACAGCGAGTTCTGATATGAATGTCCAATCACTCCTTTTTAGGTATTGGTGAATTTAGTCAATGTGATTTGGAAAACTGTCTTTGTCTGGAACCACTTCAGATGGTTTCCCCCTATGAATCAAGTTCTGCTGACCTTCTTCAGTCAGTCTGACCCAACACTCTTTTTGTACAGTGTTGTATAACTGGGGTGACATGTCTTTGTATCAAAGCAGACAATTCTGCCCGTGTTTGCAATTGCTCAAAGTTTATTTTAATATCAAAGTCTATCAACTGTATTGCAAGGGGGGTTTTGCTTTCCTTCAACATAGACTGCGGGAGGTCCGCCCTCCCTGCCCCTGCTCCTCCGAATGCGCTGTCGTCTGCCTGGCTGTCTCACAGTCTCTGTGCTGGCCCCCGAAACATGTGGCAAGAAGACTGATGGAGGTCAGAGTTGAAAAACATGTTGAATCATGGATGGCCTTATATCTCATACACAAGACAAACAGGCATAAGGTTGGGCCCCTGCCTTTTATGTTTCACCACAATATCCCCAGCACCCTGCACACCCCCCACGACATATCAGGCATTTAATATACATTTACTGAATGGATTGCTAAATTGTCTATGGTTGTAGTATCATAGGGTTTCACTTCTTAACCAGCAAAAGCAACGTGGAGGCTAATTTTTAAAATCAAAATAAATTATACATGTCAACTTTTTTCTTTAGGAAAACAGGGAGCCTCATTTTCAGATAATAAAATACAACAGTTCTGGGGAGAGGCGGCCGAAGGAAGCGTCATTTGAATTTGTTATGCTGTATTCACAGACCCAAACCCAGTTTCTGGCAGAGTCATATAATCAGGTTAGCCAAGCTCCATGCTAATCAGCAAGATCAAAAGCCCCTCACACTATCACCACAACAACTTTTGTTGAAATGATGCTGAGGAACTCAGATCTTCTGCTAAGGAGCCAAGTCAATCATATTAGCATCCACATCAATGGACCCCAAAAAGGGAAGTGCATTTTTTCAGTTCAGTAGACTCTGCCTATTACTCTCTTTTAATCTGCCTTCATATCATTTTTTTTTTTTCTGGATAAAACCCAACATTCCTGAGGCAAAAATTAGTTATTTAGTTAGGATGATCTCACTGAAAAATGTCAAAAATGTGGGTCTGGTAACCATCTTCCTTTTGCCCTTTGAAGCCCGATGGTACCCGACGATTCCAGGCTCACACACAGCCTCTTGCCAACCTCGCTTCACTCCCTAGCTGATCTCAAAAAAAGCCTGCTGACCTCAGGGAGACGGCTGTGCTTTCTCTCCCTTAACATGAACTCCATTTCAGTTCTGCTGTCCCGCATGCTCACTTCGCTCTCTGGTGTTCTTCTCATAAGGACACTAATCCCATCATGAGGTCCTCATCATCATGACCTCATCTGACTCTAATTGCCTTCCCAAAACCCCATCTCCAAAGCCCAGCAGAATGGGGGTTATGGCTTCAACATATGATTTTGCGGGGGACAAAAACATTTAGTCCATAACAACCACCGAGCACTTTTTTCCAGGCCAGGAAGGAAACTGACTGCACAGCGTCTCTTTAAATACAAAAGGCCAAAGCACTCCCTGGGTCTAGAGGTCTCTGTGCACACAGAATCAAGGAAGCCATCATTTCCACTACTATAATCCTATAAGGCATGTTAAGTAAGGGGTGAGGTGTATTTTATTTTTTTGGTAAGGAAGATTGGCTCTGAGCTAACATCTCTTGCCAATCTTCCTCTTTTTTTTTCCCTCCCAAAAGACCCAGTACATAATTGTAGATCCTAGTTGTAGGTCATTCTAGTTCTTCTATGTGGGATGCTGCCTCAGCATGGCTTGAGGGGTGGTGCATATGTCTGTGCCCAGGATCCGAACTGGTGAACTACAGACCACCAAAGCGGCGCATGGCAAACTTAACCACTCGGCCATGGGGCCACCAGCCCCACCCACTTTTAAAACCAGAATATTTAGTGTTTGAAGGTGGCATAGCACAGATTCTAAATGTTTCACTTATCAGAAAAGCATAGGAAACAAGTGGCATTTTGACATGTTTATAAAATGCATCACTGGGAAAACCCTGCTCTCAGAGAGAATGCTGGAACAGAAAATCTGCCAAACATGGAGATCCTTGCTCTGCTGGGTACTTAGCAGCTACATGTTAGTGCTTTAATCCCATCCTCAAGGTGCCACCCACGTTTGGCTCCAAGGTCTGCAATTACTGTGCTTATTCACCAAAGGCAATATGCCACCTTCCCAGCAGGCCAAGCCCCCTGTGAGAATAAGGCAAGTCAAAGCATTTAGAACACCTAAAATTCACCTTAAAGATAGTAACAACAGGGGCCGGCCTGGTGGCATAGTGGTTAAGTTCACGCACCCCACTTTGGCGGCCCGGGGTCCACCAGTTCAGATCCTGGGTACGGACCTGCACACTGCTCATCAAGCCATGCTGAGGTGGTGTCCCACATAGAAGAACTAGAAGGATGTACAACTAGAATATACAACCATGTAGTGAGGCTTTGGGGAGAAAAAAAAAGAGGAAGATTGGCAACAGATGTTAGCCCAGGGCCAATCTTCCTTAAAAAAAAAGAAAATAACAACGATCATGATACATAACATCTGTTCAAAGCCACTAGGAGCAGGGCACTGTTCTAAGCATCATACATATATTATCTTATCTCGTCCTAGCCACAGCCTATGAATGACTAAATTATATTTTCCATTTTTAGAAAAGGACCTTTTTCTCTCTTTCAGCTTAGTTTTGTAGACATTGCCATTGGCAATAAAACAGTGGTTAAGAGCTGGGGTTTTGTAGTCAGATTGCTTGAGGTCAAATCAAGAGTTACTTTTTCCAGCTACGTGACCTCAAGCAAGTTATTTAACCTAAGTCTCAGTTTCTTCATCTTTAAAATGAGGATAATAACACAGAGATGTGAGAATTGAATAAGATTAAAATATGTTGAACATATTAGACAATCTCTGGCATAGGATAAACTGAGCAACAAACATTAGCAATTATCTGGTCACACTTCACAATTTTAGTTATTTGGAATCCATTTTGGACAACTTAATAGGGAACAAATATAGGGGGGAAATGTATACTCTCTCCCAGCTTCTGAAATTACCAATTCTTAAAAAACAAACCTTTGGCACCAAACCAGTGGCTAAAATCTCATTAGTTACTTAATATTAGCGTTATTGTAAAGACAATGAAAATAGCCAATTAGGTCAGGGTCAAAGTCAAAGTCTTTGGTTATTAGGTTTGATAGACTGTGCTTTCCTGTTCTACTTGGCCAACTCTTATCTCCAGAGCATAACCGGCCTTCCCAAGACTTGCGGCCAGCACCATGGAAATCTGCACAGCCCAGCAGCAGCAGTGGCAGCTTAAAAGCAGAGCAGTTATGATTTATTCATCAGCTCTGTGCTCTGGCCATCCTAACCACCCCTCTGCTTTCTACCTTCATTCCTTCTTTTCCTCCTTTATTTGAATGCTGGGGCCTCTCATCACATCACAG